CTGAGCGATGAGCTCTGACGCAAAGCGCCAGCGTGCCGTTTGCGAAAGTACGTTGCAGAAATTCACGGCCGTAATGACCGTGAAGCTCGAGCTGCTCTGCGCTCAGACCCAAACACTGAAAAATGTAATGCCGTTTTCACCTCGACACCATGCTAGTGATTTGTATACTTTAGTTAACAGAAACCGCTGACGACGCGACGGTCGCCCGCGAACATGATAAAACGCTGACCACCGTCCAGCAGCTGCATAGCGATATCGAACATGTGAAGCGATTTGCCGAGCTGCAGAACGAGTCAAATTCAGTCATGTTCGAACGCTGTTTTGAATCGTTGCTGGAGCAAGTTCGAGATTCGGTGCTCATCTGTTACCAAGCGTACAACTCTTTGAAGGTCAGCCGGAATCACCGTACGTCACCTTGACTTTGCGCATAGCACTGGCTCCGTTTTAATAAATTATAATTGCCGATAATTTTTGTTTATATTGTACATATCGAGCCCAGGGTGTCGAATGTGCCTGTCACTGCACATTGCTACCTCATGGAATCTAGCCCTTGGAGCTTTATCGATTGGTGGAGGACCGGGCTATTTTAGAAACCTGAACTGATAGCCCGCCCCTCCCTCCTGACGCGGAATGAATGCCAGGTTATAAAAAATAGATGGTTTTTCATTATTCATGTTAACGGATCACTCGAGATTGTTAAAATCCGACTAGAGGAACAAGTGTAGCAAACATTTTCTCTTTTATTTCGCCGTATTAAGGCAATTTTTTAGGTGAAATACAAAGGCCAAGACCATGGAACGAGTCATGAGAAATGAAAAATATACAGACGTCTTTCTCATTCTTACCGTAGAGGTGTGGACATTCCTGGTTTGGAATTCGCGCTCTACAGCCATAGCAAACATTCAGGCACATCGATCAGCCTATGATAAATATGATGGATTTAATTCAATAGACGGTTTTATTTATCATTAACTATAAGAGAACATGTTATGCTACTCATTAAAGAATATTCTCCACAAAATAGTAACTGTTATGACTACTGTGTCAGCTCTTTAGTATGTC